GAAAATTATATAAAATACTAGGATGTTGTGAGTATAAATAGGAGTATATGGTAACTAGAGAAGAACAGACTGAAAAATAAGTCTGTTGTTAAGATTCCACACACCTGATCACCTCTCAAACGTCATTCAACTTTGAAATTGTATTAACTCAATCGCGGAAGGTTACATCGTTTACTGGCGGAGAATGAAAATGTACAATGTATCTAAGCGAGTCGTTCACATCACACTGGTCTAAAGTATGAATCGCCCCATGTTCCCTGTGGCGTCTCGGTAAACTACAGGCCTGCATTGTGGACATTTGTCCACAAAGTCCTCATAAACAGATAGAAATACGCGTGTAGACCAGTTTTAAAGTACTGACTTTCCCAAGAACGCCAGATTAATCGCGAAAGAGACGTGTAAAGCGTTTTCTACAGTTCAGGTGGGAACTTATGGAGCCACGTTTCACGTTTCTCGATCTGTGTCGAAGCGAACGAGGTAACGCTCGGACGGTTTCGAAACTTCTTTCGAGAAATACAACTAGTTTCGGTACAAGAAAGAGTCTGCTGTAAAGATTTGTGCTCAGGTTGGGAGAAAACGCGGAACTAAGCGCCCACTGTTGTTTCCAAGCACTACCACATTTCACACTAAATCAAAGGCGAGAGGAGAGTAGGCCATTTGACTAGATTTTCACCAAAGGAACCGAATCTGATTTCTTACCTTTGCCTAATTGGTTCTCTTTTCTTGAGGTTACATACGCCTTCCGACCACTTTGTCCCCAGTAAATGTTTCGGTGTTGTACTCAGAGTGGTATTGTTCCGTTCAACTTGAAAATCACAGTCTGTCCCATTCCTTTGCCATGTAACCTCACGGGACGTGATAAATAAATGATGTGCCCGATAGAGGGAAAATCCGTGATAGATATTATTAATCCAGTCACGTTACTTGGTTTTGTTCTTATGTTGCAGTAAAAGGAAAAGAGTAACAGTGACCAGTCCTGGCAAACAAAAACCTTTAAACCGGAACCGGTAGAGATTGTGTGGCTATGCTACATGACAAAAGACAGCTCTAGGAATAGTGGATGGACTCCCGCAGATGTTCCCCCTCCCTCCACTCTGAATTGGTTTAACTTGCAGCAATGCATCCCACAATATGGCCGCCACAGGGAATGGTGAACGGAAAGAAATCAGTTTCTTAATTGACAAGTCGACGATTGACCATGAGCCGGCGATATTAGAAGCATTATAGGCTACTACTGTGGTTCACCTTTGTAAGGTGCCAACATTAAGTAATAACACTAACCGGCTGTTGCGTACAGTGTTTTAGATCAGTCTTATGGCGCCCCCTGCAGGTGGGCTTAAATCAATGCAGCTTTCTAGCATTCGTTTACGTTTAGTAGTGAGCATACATCCCATAACTATTGAGCACATTCCACGATTAGTTTATTTTAAAGCATTTGAAGCACAATTTTTTTTTCTTTTTTTGTGACGCTATGAAATTTACATAGAAACGCATGAAAAGGAGCTAATTTTCAACACAGGCTATCTGTGTCCAAACGCATTTATTTCTTTATTTTTCCTTCAGTGCCTTTGTTTCATGTTTTTCAACGAATAAAACTACCCCCATTATCCAAAGAGCACCGGGAAAATAAGATTTTACACCCCAAGCAGCACAATATACATTTTTTTTTTTGCTTTCCTAAACAATGTGTCCAGTGTGACAGGGTGCATTATCCTGCTAAAAGAGGCCACTTCCACCAGAGAACACCACTGTCATGAAGGGATGGTCTGCAACAATGTTTAGGTGGGTGGAATGTATCAAAATCACATCCGGAGGGGTTCCCAGCACCAGACTCCCTCTACCGGCTTGTTGTCATCAGTGCATCCTGATGCCATCACTTTCCCAGGCGAACGGCGCACACGTTCACACGAAGTACACGTGATGTAAACGAAAATGGGAATCATCGGACCAGTTGACCTTCCTCCATTGCTCTCTGAAAGGTCCAGTTCCGACGCTCTCCTGACTATTGTAGTCTCTTTAGTTTCGACAGTGGACATGGTTCATCACTCTGATTGGTCTGCAGCTATACAGTCAGCAACATACAGAGTGCGGTACACTGCGTGTTGTGACATATACCTCTGATAACATTTCAATTTTGTGTGACTTGTCTGTTGGCTCGGACCAGACTGAATAGCCTGCAGTGGTCGTGCATCGATGAGCCTTGGGCTCCCCCAACACCCTGTCGTTGTTTTGTGGTTTGGTCCTAGCTCTTCGGACCAGTTGGTAAATTCTTACCACTGCTGAACGGGAGCAACCCACAAGCTTTTCTGTTTCAGAGATACTCTAAGTCTAATTCATTGCCTTGCCATAACTATTTGGCGCATGTCGAAGTTTTTGCTCATTTTTCCTGCATGCAACATGTTGATTATGAGAACGGATTGTTTGCTTAATCTACTCAGACTTTAATATTTGTTAAGAGATCAACAATATTCAATAATCAATAATCTGTTGATTTAATCAACTTGATTAAATTTGGTTTTACATTGGGTGTGGAAATGAATAGGCTTAGACTTGGTGCTGCTAACCCAATGCACAGGACAATGGTGACACCAGAATAACAATATTCATGGTTCTGAAGCTGAGAATATAATTATTTTAGATGAATATGCTTACACTCATTCACAGACATATTTAAAATAATGTAAAATCCACTTTTCACTGGTAATAAGACATTTGGCATTATCAGGACTCACAAATATCCCCCCATTGCAATACAGTATCTATTATATTAAACATTGTAAATAGTAGTTTAAAGTAGTACTGACACTAAAATTCTGTAATCTTGATTTTAATGAATGAATAGAAATGTCTTCCTACAGCTCATGGAAATAACTGTAGATCATAAAAAATGAAGTTTTACCACATATATATTTGTATATATATATATATATATATATATATATATATAGTCCATTGAATACAAATTACATTACAATTATAGTTAGATTAGGTAATATAATAGGACTACTTTTGAATTACTTTTAGATCTTCTTGTAAATCCTAAAATAAAAAAGGGTTTGCAGGGGGTTGTAGATATAAAATGCTGAAATATATTGAAATAAAACATTACTAAAAAAATAATATTTTATTTGTTTATACTGTGACCTCGCAGTCTTCAGTAGCAATTTGGAGGCTGGTCCGAAATCCTTGTCCTTGTGGGGACATTATTTGGTCCCCATGACCAAAAAAATCATTGTAAGTAAGTCCCCAGTGAGGATTTTTAAGTGTTCTTTTATGCTTTAAGCGTGCATACAGGCTATGCGTCATAGAGAGTTTATGCTCTTCCATAGGGAAACCACAAATCACCAGTTGGAAATATAAATTACCACAATGTGCTGAGACACAGGTAATATGTGACGAAACAGCGACTTCCTCTCTCTGTAATTAAGGACAGTTGAGTAATTGCACTTGCACTCTACTTGATCGTAATATCATTGGTTACATCAGGATACACAGAGGAAGCAACTTAATAGCTTTACTGTAAATCATGTATTCTATTGACTCACACACTGCCGATAATAGCACGTGTTCCAGTATCATCAATTTACGGCTATTTAGTGTGTTTCCTCGCTTATTATTGCAAGAAGAGGATCAATTGCGCTCAAATGTAGTGCTGTTGCTAATCATGGGGGTAGGCTTACAAGTCTATCTTCAACCAAAGTTCCTTTAACCCAAACGAAGCAATAGTTCCTAGGCTTAGATAGCTACAATTTCTATATTATTTCAGGTCTATAGCCTATAAACATTTCATCAAAGTTTTAGTAACCATATTTCAAACTAGACTTAAAGCCTCGCTGATCGCGCACAGAAGTTGTGTGCATGGTAACGATAGCCTACGTTCCTGAGTAGGCTGCTTCGAAAAAAACATTAGGTCCTATAGCTATACTGATATTATTTATCTCAGAGTGTTTAGATATTACTTAGCTTAGTCTATTCACATTTAAAGTCAAGACAACCACAGGTGATCGTGCACTTCTGAAACCAACGTTTACTTATTTTTCATATTTAGTTTCAAATCCGAAACACATGGGGGCAGTGTTGTGGTGAAAACCGAGAGATGATAGGGAACCAAAGGCGTAGATTCATTGCTCAACTAAATCACGCTCTGTGTACGGACTGGGTGAGTATACGAAGCAGTGACTTATAGTTTCGTCATACGACGTCAGAGTTCACTAATCGTAAGCATGAATTAATTCATACCAAATCCATCGGTGGTGCACGACTTTGGACTTTTTCATCTCTGTGTGGACAGGCCAGTAAATAGACACGCAGGGGATCCAGTTTGCTCTTATATCATCGTAACAAAATCACGTATTCTGCTTGACTCAATAACTTTTTTTGTTAGAAAAAAGCAAAAAATTGCTTTTGTGTGCCTGAAATGACTAAAACTATAGGCTATAGCCTAAGTGGAACATGTTGGCCAAAAAGCCTATTATTCAGAAATTTCAGACGCAATATCCGTACACTAAAGAAAGGCCATGGACTGCATGACGCATGTGAGATTAAAATAGATAATAATACAGATATAGATAATAATCATCTTTAATAATTGTGTTTCTTAAAAAACAAAACATAGAGGAACAAATTTCATTTGATAGAATGATAAATATAGCGCTCGTTTAAAATAAGTGTGCGCTATTTTCACCCACGAAGACATTTCAGTACCACATTGGTGGACAGCGCTCAGCCAGTGACCCTATGACAAATCTGGCCTTTTTGAAAATGGCTCTTTTTGTTATCTTGTCCACCCTCTATTGTCTCATCCCGACAGTGCGTAAGTAAGTGTCTGTTTGTAGTGACTGATGTGGTTTGGGACCTCGAGACAACCCACGGACCGGGGATCCTAATTGGCAGTCACATTGTCATGTCAAGTTGAAAAAAAGTTGCAAATTGTCCTTTCTCCAGAAATTACATTTAGAGGAAAGTTCCATTTGAGGTGTATGTGGTGTGACTCGTTCATCGATGAGGAAGGAACTGTACTATTATATCCCGGGAGGAAGGGTTGATGACGTCTGTGGCATACTTAATGTGACTTATTGAAAAAAAGCAAGACTCTCTATTCATGGATAAAAATCCGAGGTAATCGGAGCACAGCAGAAAAAGTTTTGTAAAAGGATATGTAGACAAACGAGTGGTGCTGATTTCACCGAGGTTTTGTTTGGCAAAGTGTTTTTGTGTACTATATTGGTTATTGTATAAAAGTGCAGGGGCTGAAACGACGCGCACATAAGCAAAAGACGGTGGCGCTTCAGGGAAGAGGTGCTGTGAGGAAGATCTCTATCTCTCTCACACAACCACAGCCGCACCCGAGTCGCATCCAACAGCATTTCTATCTACCTACTCTGCAATAGGTAGGTTAAAACCCGGCAAAGGCGTTTTTACTCGGTTTAAACCAAGGAATTAGGATACGAAGAAGCTCAGGCAACTGGATTTTCCTTGTCTAAAGATTATCTACCGGTTTTATTGTTTGCCTCATCGGGAGAAGGATTCTGTTGCGCGTGCATGGCATTCTTTAAACTTTTCAAATCATCTTACGAGCGGAAAATACGAGTAAGACAAGTAAAAAGTCGCACCTGTTTCGCATTTCTGGATTTGTATAGGCTTTCTTAACAAAAGTTCTTTGCGTATTAGGCTACTCATATCGAATAGAATAAAACCCACAGGCGTCAATTTTTTGTAAATTCTCCTGGACCGCACCTTGGCTATAGGCTACTCTATACGTGTTTGATCATTTTTAAGTTATTTATTTAACTTCATTTTGTCTTTACAGCATGGCCAGATCTAGTAAAGCGACTTTAGCGTTGCTCATCTACGGAATCATGATGCACTACAGCGCCTTCTGCACGCCTATTGGGATGACTTTTCCTAAGATGAGGTATGTATACTATGCTTTTCTTCTCAACGTTTTGAGATTTTCTTTCACGTTGAAAAGGACAATATTCTGCGACGAGCTTTATTGTATAGTCTAAACACTCCAGAAATCAGGCTAATGACACGGTGTCTAGGCGCAAACAATGGATAAGGATTTTATATTATTATTATTTTTTTTTTTTTTAAATGCTACTTAATTTTATAGAGTGAAAAAATATGGGTATTGTTGTATTATTCTGTAGACTTTAAACAGTAGCCTATGCGAGATCTCCCCCAGAGAGTTTACGCATGCAGAGCTACAGTGCAAGCGCTTAAGCTCTGCTTGCAAATGTGGGAGGGCGTTCGTATCGCTAAGAAGGAAATTCTCCATTGGGACAGGCAGATGCAGTGTAGCTTGTATGAAAATGAGAAACCAATGAATGTAACGGGTGGCCCGTAAGATGACGGTACAGTGGCGTCACTGTACAAACCGAAGAAGAAAAAAAAAAACACGAATGAGAATGAGAATGTTCAGTGCGGGACCTTTTGTTGTGTGAATTTACTCATGATTATTACAATGTAGGTGTAGGCTATTGCGTTTATCACCTAGTAGCCTACCTTCACACGTCATCATCAAATTTTATTTTTGGTTAATTCTACCAAACATACCAAAGGAAGTTTATCATGTTTTTATGCTTCTTTTTTTAAACTGCGAAGGGACACCTCCAAATATATTATTATTCTTTACCCGATGAAGATGACACGATAATATGACCGCGTCATTAAACTAATTATTTAAAATCAATTCGATCCATAAACCTTGAGGATGTCGCATTGTATCATCTCACAATTATTATTAGTATTGTAAAACAACTATAATTTTCGGTGGAATTAATTTAGCAGTTTATTTTGGGCTTTATTTAAAACACCGTTTTTAATTGACATAATAATAGCCTACCGTAGCGTAGCCTATTACGTTGTGATTTATTAAAAGCATCAATCTTTTTTCTTTTTATTCCAGACTAGACAATGATGTATTTGACGAAGACGGAAACTCGTTAAGCGACCTGGCTTTTGGCAATGATCAAATTTCTATACGAAGTCCTCCATCTCTCACGGACGACCTATACACGCTATACTATCCTCCAGAGAAAAGGTACATAATTTCACGTCACTTCCCTGTATGTCATATCATATGAGAATCAATGTCATTATGTTTTGTTTATGTTGTTCCGCTATGTCTGTTCCTTTTGTTTCCCAGCTTTTTTCCTTTGCTTTTTTCTGTTATTGTTGCTGTTGATATTTGCATTAAGTGACTAGTTAAGATAGATAGATAGATAGATAGATAGATAGATAGATAGATAGATAGATAGATAGATAGATAGATAGATAGATTGACAGATTTACTAGGGAATCGAAAGTAACACTATCACGCGTTTAGCCGAGAGAAGAATACAACTAAATCAGGCTGATTACTTTGCAAAAAACGTGTTCTGTGGTTTTTAATTACTGATATTATGTGTTTGGCGTTTTATCTCAGAACGGAAAGGCATGCAGATGGATTATTAGATAGAGCCTTGAGGGACATCCTGGTTCAGTTATCAGCACGAAAATATCTGCATTCTCTGATGGCAGTTCGCGTAGGGTAAGGGCATTTTTAAGCGTTTACCTGCCGTCATTTTTGTTTTCCCACTCTTCATTTCAGTGGAGTTGATTTCTCGACTGTCTTGACTGTTTGTCTTTATTTTTTTCCCCGACTTCTTGTGTCTTTGTCTGTGGGCTCGCATGGGCGTGGAATTTCATGGGGAACTATTCGTAGATGAACCACGATAAATTAGCCCGAAAGTTATTTTTTTAATTGTTTGTGCTCACACGGAACATGTTGTAGCCTGTATTGTCAGAGAAAAAAAATTCGAGAGCCAATGCGTCAGAATACATAATTTCCAACATGCATAATTTATGAGAATTCTCTGCTCTTATTTCGATTTCTAATAAAATTCGTTGCAATGTTAACGAAAAAAATGCTCTCGATAATTTTTTTTCCCCTGGGACAATATAATTAATATATAGCCTATGAATATATATGTTTGGATCAAAGCTGCCTACTGAAACCTGTTCACACATTTCCTGTGTCAGCCGGTAGCCTAATGATAGTTCATATATTTGCAGCGGAGGAAGCAGCGAGGAAGACGAATCGGAACCATTATCAAAAAGGCATTCGGATGGGATCTTCACCGACATTTACAGTCGCTACCGAAAACAGATGGCCGTCAAGAAGTATTTAGCAGCCGTCCTGGGAAGAAGGTACAGACAGAGAGTTAAAAACAAAGGACGTCGATTTGCTTATTTGTAGCGCTGACAAAACTGCCCCCAACTGCCCCTCCATGTGTACATTCAGTCCTAAGATCAAAGTCATTCTGATATAACTGATTAATCAGTGGATCGCGCCTGTGTTCTTTAAACATGTATTTATGTATGAAGTAAAGCCATTAAAATGAATATTTTACTAATAACATTGTTTTTCTTTTTGTACAAAAGCACTTGAAACGCACAGTTATACTTTGTGGACCAACAGTTCAGTTTCATGTATATAGCTATATATGTTGAAAACAAAAACCATCAGGAGAAAAAAAAAAGATGAAAAAAAAAATGTGCACCTTGAACGTTATGCGCCTGATATCTTTTCAAATTCATCATCATATGCAGAAAATAAATAGATTTTAAAAAGACAATCAAAGTTCTGAATGTTATACTTATTTTTGTAATCTTCTAAAAGAATAGTCTTATTTTATCCAAAGTCTGCCCAGGGATGTATCGGACGTACTCTGTAAAGTACAGGGCTGTTTCAATTGTTGTGACCCCCCCAAAAAAGGAGGAGTGGGAAATATAGTTAGCTGGCATGATTCCCTCTTTCTTAGCCCAGATGGAATGTGATTGTCCTGCCTGTGTTTGTGATTGGAGACAGTAACCAGTATGCCTGACTGGAAAAAAATGACACTGGAGTAACTGATATACATGTTTTTTGGGGGGCGGGTGGATTTTCTTTCTATTGTCTTTTTTTTCTTCATCACCTCTATGCATGTTATACTTATAATGTAGGCTATACATGCATGTCCTTTGTTTCCCATCCAGTTCAATGTTTCCATGCTCATTGTATTGGTCCCTCCATCAGAAATCACACACAGCCCATAGAATTAAACAAGCCCTAAAATTCTAATGCTTGCTCCTTCAAGCTCCAAAAACGTTTTGTGGAATTGGCGTCTCTCTCAGTTCTTTGCATGTCATCAATGGCTTTGTGACCAATTTTTTTTTTTTCGAATGCCTTATTGTAATGCAGAAGCTGGTAATGTTTTAGGATGTGCTCTCTGCAGTTAGGCTAAACCAATATAGCAAGTCATTGGATGACATAATGATCTTTTGATGCCACCACAATTTTCCAACTAAATGTGCCATGAAGAAATGAATGCGGTGGATGGTCCCCTCACATCCATGACTTGATAGAGAAACTTTCTTCACTGGCACGATTGGTCTTTAATTCAGATCAGATAGGATGAAGTATTCTAAATGGTTTCATTCATCGCCTCTTTGTAGATCTGGAAAAAAAATCAATTGTGTTAATGCTTATCTGTAGTTGGTGCTGATGACTGAGGGAATGTGAGGCTGAGAGATTAGAGGCCAACGAAAGCGAAGGAACTTGTGAACTTCAACATGACCATTGTCAAGTTCATTATCCTCATTGCCAGATAGTGCTTTTGTGCATGTTGAAGATAGCCTTTCTCTTGTATGTATAGATGAGGCACACTACACCCATTGCCCTTAGGGAGGGACACACTACAAAATCATCTATGTGCTGTCTTTTTTTATTATTATTATTTTTTTTTTGTTGTTAAGCCTGTATTGAATTCAGTATATTTCTCCTGATATGGAAATCAGGTCTTATTCATCCACTAATTCAATATGTAAACCGTTGTCCCAGGCATGAAATCAATCTTTCTTCAATTTGGCACTGTCCCCCAGGCTTTATGTGAGTATGGATGCGGCTCTGATAGTGTTATGCGAGGAGGAGCGTGTGTTGTAGCGTGTTGGAAGGGCGGGAGGTGGGTGGGAGAGTGAATGCGTGCGTGAACATAATGATGTTATGAAAGATGATATGGGTTTTGGCTTAGGTGCCTTGTGACAACTTACGATAAAAAATCGCCACTTATCACGGATGGCAATTTTTAGTGGCCCTACAATGCTGCAAACTATTAGGTTCCATTTCACAAAGTCCATCTTTACTGTTCCAACCCTTTTCTTTTCGAAACTTGGTTTCAAACCTAATTCTTTAATTAGAGCTGAAAAGCATGGCCAGCATATATTGTGATCAAATCTATTACTGAAGTGGTGTACATGGTAAAAAAGTATTAATTGTCTGGATTGTTTAAGCTGATGATTGTGTGTAAATGTGACAAGCACGTGTTTCTGTTTAGCTCTACTAGTTGTAGCTCAAGGTCCATGAAGCCTATAGCTAGGTTTTGTGTTGTTTCTTGTTGCATAGCTTGAGGGTTTTTTTGACAACAATTGGAAAACCCGACAGAACACAGCGCAGCCTGTTGTGTACATTTCTGAAAGTGCCGAAAGCCTTAATGTGAACGTTTTATCTATACCTGAAACATTATATATATATATATATATGTGAAAAGTGAATATTAGCAAGTGACATCATCCTATATTAACACATATAGCTCCTTAGGGGGTGGTATTTTTAAATGTTAAAAAGTGTTGTAAGATTTGTATGAATAAATTTTTGTAAACAACACAATTTCTAATCCATGTCTAATCTTTGGAAGGTCTACTGTAGCCCGTGTAAACACACATATTTGTGTGTTTCTCCATAAGGCTACTTTTATCCACACAACAAGAAGACGGCTCACGCTGTGACACTAATGATAGACTAAAACCCACTGCTGTTCAAGATGTGTAATCGGTATAATTCAGATCTCATATACCACTGTGGGTGAGCTGAGTGGTTGTGACAGCTTTAATTTATACTCACAACAATCAGAACGTTAACATCAAGTCAGTGATCCTGGGTAGCTATAGGTCAAGAGTGATCCTCAACAAACCACTCACTTCAACACTGACAGCGAGACACATACGCACACCAATGTATGCTGAGATTTGCACTCACACTGTAAGCAAAAAATCACAAAACTATTCCAAATAAACGAACACCTACGTTAATATGAACAACACCACAGTGGTGGCGGAAGATTACACAAATTCTGTGTTGTCCATCAATAAAGGTCAATCAAGATACAATCAATTTGCTCATGATGTGTTTCTGGATGTCCCAGTCAACTACAAAGGTAAGTCAAAAGTCCCATTGCTTGGGACTATAAAATCTCAAATGAAACCAACATAATGTCACAATTCAGTCAAGCTTTCAATCTCACTTTTAAATCGGACTCCAGTTAAGCAAAACAAAAAAGTGATTCTAAACTTCACAAGCACTATTTAAAGAGAATGGGGACATCATTAGATGACACATTTTACTTTGAAAAAGAAGTGCATTGCACTAACAACACCAAAGGACATGGGTTGGATTCCCAAGGATAGCTTGAACTGATAAAATGTACACTTGCAAGTCATTTTGCATAAATGAAAATGCAAGTTTGGTGTACTGCACCTTCAACATAAGCAAATACTCTTGCTCCAGTCTGTCCTGGAAGAAAAGCATGTTTTTAGTGTGAGGACAGAGTGAGCAAAGTTGCTTATTTCATAATGCCCAAATATGAAATTAGACATTATGAAATAAACTTGTTGTTTATTTATGTAACTGAAACTCCTCCTTAAAGGGACAAGTGACAAGTACTAATGGAATCGCTTCTAACCCAGCTAGATTATGATGGAAGCACTACTTACCCCACTAAACGACATAAACAGAAGTCACAAGAACTATTTTAATGATGCATCTTGTATGAAAAATACAAGCCTAAAGGAGCTTCACAATAAATCTGAACACATTTCAGTGGGTGGAACAAACAACACTCAAGAAAACACAAGTCTTCAGTCTTCCCGGGGACGTTTCTGCATTCAACACTGTGAGTTTTCCATGATCCCTCATAAGCTACCGTGTATAAAAATAGATGTCCCTGTTGCACAATAGTGTTGTCCTGGTACGCATTCTCTCTGACTGAGAGACAAAGGCTAGGAAGGGAACTCACCCACGGGACCAGGGCTGAGGGTGTGGCTCCAGATCCATTAGTGTGATCTGATCCGGTGGTCCATGCAGAAGGCGGATCCTTGCTCCTATAGTCAGCTAACTTAATCAGAGAAAGTGTTGCTGAGCAACAGGCCACAAAGGACAGTATATTTGTAGGTGAGGATGCATACACATGCTGTTTGATGGTATAGCTTGAAGAAAACTTTTGCCATGGCTATTTGACACTTCACATTTTCTGTGGAACATAAAAGGGGTGAAAAGAGGGCTGAATATGATTTTTTTTTTTTTTTTAAAAATAAAAAGTTACAACTTATTGTTATTCAGCAAGGTCACAAATTGATCAAAAGTGACAGTAAATTCTATTTCAATATATAGTATTTGTATTTCAAATCTTTTAAACTTTCTATTCATCAAAGACTCCTGAGATATTACAAAATACAAAATATTAAGCAGCACAAAAGTTTTTAACATTGATCATAAGAAATGTTACTTAAAAACAAATCAGCATATTTCTTAAAAGGTTAGTTCACCCCCAAAAATTCAATGATGTTAGTTTTTATTCACATAAACATTTATCAACAGATATGGTAAACGGAAGCTCAAGCATGTTCACTTGACGTGCAAGAACCAATGAGGTTTGTTCTTGTGTTACGCAACACGTTTGAGCTTCCACAAGAACCAATGAGGTCTGTTCTCGCTCGTTTAAGCAGTGATGAGTGAGCTTTTGTTTATATTTAAATGTGAATAAAAGCCTAAATTAAATCTTGTGAAGAGATCGAGTTTCTTCAGAAAATTTGGGCTAAACCACTCAATTAATATGGATTAGTTTTACGATCTCTTTATGAACTTTTTGAAGAGGCAAAGTGGTATAGTTGTGTGGAATGTCAATGGAGAGACAGAAATCTCTCATATTTCTTTAAAAATATCTTTATTTGTGATTCGAAGATGACGAAAGTCTTACGGGTTTGAAACAACAGGGCGAGTAATTAATGACAGAATTGATTAAACCCTAACCCAAATCAACATACCCTTTAAGGATCATGTGACATGAAAACTGGAGAACTGACTGCTTACAATTCAGCTTTGCCATCACATGAATACATTTCATGTTTTAAATAATTTTAAAATAGTTATTTTAAATTGTAATAATATTTATTTCTTTAATGTTTTTATCAAATAAGCAGCCTTGGTTAGCATAAGAGACTTCAAAAACATAAAGCAATCGTACAAACCCCAAAAGTTTAGTGTGTTAATCTCATAAATCTTTTAGTTTCATATATTATACAAATAATATTTGATGATACAATATTTTAGTATTATAAGTTACTACATATAACATTACTATATATATATATATATATATATATATATACAGTATATATATATAAAAACCCAATTATTTGAGATTGAAAGCATGTAATATTTTTCCTTAAACAGTATAAACTTGTTTTTATATGAATCTCAAATAATTGGGTTTTTATATTACAGTATATATATGTATATCTATATCCTTCTTCATATCTCTTTATATTTATATAAAGGGTAAGTAGTCCCTTGCAAGTGGGTCCCTTGCACTTGGCCATCAAAAAGTCTAAAAAACCCCTGCCAAGACAACAATCTAAATACAATCAATAAAATCCATAATGCTTGAGCTAAAACGAAAGCTAAGGGCTAGAGCTAAAATCTGTTTGTCACACAAAATCATATGTAAACATCACAATTATTGTTTCATGGTTCAGATTTCACTCCTCCAAGAATAGCCTTCACCAAGCTGTTTGTATAAGGGCTTCGCAGGAAGCAACAGAACCCTCCTTCCTTCAATTAAAGTTGTGAAAACAGCAGCCAGGCAGGAATCATGCTGGGAGCCTCCATCTTAGCCATGTACTTGTTTCCCGCCGCACCCTCTTAACACCATACCCCCTTGCCACACTCCTGAGGGGCAGAAGCCACTGGGTAGATGGGTGTAAAGAGGGGGGGTTTCCAAAAGGGTTTCCAATTTTTCCAAAAGGGGGGGTTGGGGGGGGTTGTGCCTGAACACGCTCCCTTAGGGAGTAATTTGCAGTCACACAACAATATGTCAAAGGTAAATCTGGCTTTGGTGATTGGGGAGGTGGTGGGCTGTTGCTTGAGATGACTTTATTTTTATATGACTCTTGCTTTATTTCAAGCACAGATAACGTGTTGTCATGAGTAGCCGCTGAGAACTGATAGAGATTTCCTGATTCAATTCTGAATCACAAGCTCTTGATTCAGTTTTGATTCTGATTCACTTGTGTATTTTTTTTCTGATATAATGTCTATTTTGCTTTTATGAAAAAACTTTCACTGTACAACTAACAGTAATATTCACTGCTCTCAAATAATGCCGAAACTTGAAGTGTCTTGAATGA